AGCAGATGTTCCTCATGTACCAAACCCCCCCCCAAAAAATAACCCACCTCAACAGCTCAAGAGCCCCCAGTGTTCATTTGCTCCTTAGAGATAGTATCCTGGTCCTCAAATTAAACCTTTCCTTTCCTTTGTTGTTCTATCTTGTCTGCTTGGCTCATAACACCGGCATTCGTTAACTTGGAAAAATCCATTTGTATACTTTCCTTAAAAGCCATTTCTACACCAGAGATTCCCATGCCTTTGCTAAGGGGGCCTTTGGCTGGGAGAGAAGCAATTTCTACTGGAGAGTCTCTGCTGCTTTTCAAAATGATTGGTGCTTTTCTCTGGACCCACTGGTGCCTCCCCCACCCCACCCCTGCCCCACAGCCTCCATCCTTCTCTCTTTATCTAACCCAGAGATTGTCAACCTGGTCCCTGCCGCCCACTAGTGGGCGGTAGGGGGGTTCTATGGCACAAGCTGAATCCTTCCATCGAGCACTGGGGGGCGGTAAGGAAATTTTACCATCAAGAAAGATGCATTAGTGGGCGGTAGGTATGAAAAGGTTGACTACCCCTGATCTAACCCCTGAATCAACTTTCTGCCATCACGGACAACCCCCAGGCTGTAGAGTGAAAAGGTTAAAAGAATTTGAGAGCTATGATGAGATGCACGCTGAATGCATTGATCCTGCCAAAGGATTTGTTTCCCTTTCTGTGTTAACCGCTTATTGATTGTCACAATGACCTTTGTCTTTGTGATTTTTTGTTGGCCTCTTTCCTACCACAGAATCTTGGTTGGGTCTTCTTTGCGCAGACCTGGCACTCCTACCCAAACACAGAGAGAAAGCAGCAGCTCAGGGGTAAAGCACCTGCTTCGCATGCAGAATTTTACAAGTTCAATCTCTGGCATCTCTGGGTTGGCTGGAAAGACGGCTTGAAACCCCAGTGAGCCACTGCCAGTCCGTGTAGGCCAGGGGTCTGCAACCCGCGGCTCCGGAGCCGCATGTGGCTCTTTTACACCTTTGCCGCGGCTCTGGGGCGGATACTAGCGAGGGGAGGAGGCGCATTGTGTGCCCCGACACTCCCCACTGTGGCGGGCGCTGTACTGGCTGTGATGTCGCTTGTGGGCGGTGCGTGCGTTAGTCACGCACCGTCCCGACGTCACCTTCCCGCCCGCTGTCAGATCGCGGCTCCGGAGATATATTTGTTTTAAATGTCACAATGGTTTTGCGGCTCCCAGTTTTTTTTTCTTCGGAAATGGGTCCAAGTGGCTCTTTTTGTCTTAAAGGTTGCAGACCCCTGGTGTAGGCAATGCTAACATCAGTGGGCAGCTTCCTGTACTACACCAAGTGAGACCACTGGTCCATCTCTCCCTTTATTGTCTACACCAGGGATAGGGAGCCTGTGGCCCACCAGATGTTGGACTGCAGCTCCCATAATCCTCAGCCACAGGTCCTCATACCTGGTCTACACTGACTGGCAGCAGCTCCCAAGGGTTTCGGACAGGAGTTTTTTCCCAGCTGTCTTTGGAGACACCAGGAGTTGAATCTGGGGCTCCTGCACATAACACTTGTGCTCTGTCACTGAGCTATGTCCTTTCTTCCGTGCTCACGGGGAAAAGAAAATGGCGGCTGCGTCCGTGCGATGAGGAGCTCTGACCACACAATAGAATTGTTGCTGTGAGAGCCAGCAGCTGGAGCACTTGGAGTTCTGAATGCAGGAAAGACTGTTTGTGGCCTGTGGGGTGTTTTCTTCCCCTCACAGTAATGCCTGGGAAGGCGGTAAGGGAAAACTGAAAGAGGGACACTGGCGAAGCCACCCAGCAGACCTCAAGGCTGAGCTGGGTGTTACCAACATGGCTACACAGGGAACATCTGGAAAAAGAAATGTATGAAACAGGACGTTGAAGTGTTCTGTGTTGTTTTCACAAGATGGTGCCGGGAATACATGGGGAGGAGACATGGTGAGGCCATCGCTGTGTGCCTCTTGAGGTGCTGATGTTTTAGACCACAGCACAGGCTGGTTCTGATGGGAGTTGTTGTCCAAAACATCAGGAGGACACCATGTTGGCTGAGCCTGGCCTAATCCAACTGCTGTGAGGATAAATTGAGAGTCCCATGTGGGCTGCCCTTAGCTCTTTGGAGGGAAGTTCAAATAAGTGAATTTCTTTGACTCATACCCAGTGGGGGGTTAAAATACGTAGGGGTTTGCCTCATACGCTTTCGAACCTCACGTGCTGGCTTTCTGCCTTGGTTAGCTAGCTGTCTGCCAGCCGCTTCTCAGGAATGTAACTTGCCCCTTTTCTATGCATTTTCTCCTGTATTTCTGAAATAACTTCCACAGCTGCCTCTCCTCCTGATCTGCTTCTTCTGTTAAAGCTCATCCAAGCTTGGTTTTCTGTGGAACAGTGACATCTTGAGGTGTGTCCAAGCATTGGAGAAATGGGTGGGAAAGGCTAGAAATATTAAACGTGATTATTTGCCATTTTACTATGGTGGTCTCTAGGGCTTGCTCAGCTGTGATATCAGAGCTCACAGAATTATGCCCCTTCCCTTAGGAGACCCTGGGTTCATTGCTTGTGCTGAATTAACAATTGGTCAAGGATGGGAAAATCTCTGGTTCTCCAGATGCTTCTGAACTGCAGCTCCCACCATCCCATGCCATTGGCCATGTTGCCTAGGGCTGGTGGGAGCTGGAGTTCAACCATGCCTGGCAGGTCAAAGGTTAGTAGAGTGTGGGCACAGTGGAGTTGTGCCAAAGCCTTCGTGGAAAGTGGGCTTTGAGGAAGGAATTTGAGAATTAACAATGTGCAGGTGTTTTGGAAGGCTGTTGTCAGGGGAAAAGGCGGGTGGATTACAGAGAGCCCCCAAAGATTGTGGGAAGCAGCACTTCCTCAGCGGAGGAAGGAAGCCACGCCTCTAGTGGGGAGGAGATGCAGGGCTCGGAGGATGCAAGGCGGTGCCAGGACACCTTGCCTGAGCAAAGCGGGGAGGAGAGAGGTCCCCCGTAACTCAAGCCTTCCTTGCGCAGTAGGCTTTCGCCCAGAGAGGGGAGGCGCAGACTGGGGGTCAATAAACTACTCTGCTGGGGAAGATTTAAGGACCGCCCACTCTCAGATCCTGCCAGGGAATGAGCAAGACATGGAATAGAGGCGCTCTGTATTCTAAAGGTTTTTTTAGCACCAATAAGAAAGCTTTAGAACAGACTAGGGAGGCATATTGCCTGATTGCTCTCGAGCAACCACCTCTAACAGCTGTCAACAATACTATGAATGTCAGGTCAAAGCTCCTGGAGTCAGCTGCTGCTGCAGAACATGGTGGCGGGGGGGGGGGGCAAACTACCACGGCATATAACACCTTGCCTCTGGAATTTGTGCTGCCTGTCCATTTGACACATTGGGCCAAGTTCAAGGTGTTGGTACTAACATAAGCCCCTTAGCCTTATCTGTCATACGTCCTGTCTGCAGGAGAACTTCTCCTGCAAGTTCTGAAGGTCTCAGAAGCTCACTCTGCAGTAACTCAGGGCAGGGCTTTTAGCGTGGCTGCACCTGTTCTGTGGAATAGCATTCTGTGCCTAGCGTTCTTGAGCAGAGCTGAGGAAGCTATTAGCAGTGAATCTGAAACTCAAGCCTCTCCCTGCAAAAATCCTGCAGTGTCTCAGAAACCAGTTTTCCCATCCCAGGGTGGGTGCAGCCAGGTGCTGACCACAAGGGTCTTGCCATATTATTCCCAGCTCTGCTCTTTGCCTGCCCAGCGCTGTTCAAAGCAACAGCTGTTCCTCTCCAGCAGTTCTCCTTGACAACTGAATACATATGTTTGCAGCCTGCATAGCTGGTCTCTGGAGCAGCAATCTAGACCTACTTTGGTGCAAGTTCTGCAAGGCAAGTGACTCACCCTTCGCAAGCAGACTGGGAAGTGGGGGGTGGGGTGGGGTCAGAATCTGTGCAATTGCTGCAGGGCTGTTGATTTTTTGTTTGGTTTTTTTACACAAACTTTGGACTTTGGACTAAACATCATGAAGATTCCGCCTTCAAAACTTGATTTGTGTTTGCTGTGCTGCCTGTAGAACTGTTCTCTTCTGTTCCATTTCGTTTCTTCTTGGGGGGGGGTTGTTTTTTTTAAGTGTGTCACTAAAAGATGCATATTTGATGGGGAGGGGAGCCTGTGCTGCTCCTTGAGGCATGTGATACATTATTATTCATGGCACACACAAGTCCCGTTCTCCGCCACATGCGTATGGTGCAGGGATGATGGGCCTCAGGTCAAGGGTCCAGATTAGACCCTCCAGAATTCTCTTTAGGGTACCACAAAACTCTCTTTTTTTTGCCTTTCCCTCTTTTCAGACCTCTTCCTCTGGACCCTGTTGTCAGGAGTTGGAGTCAGGCAGAGGTCAGCAATAAAACAATAAATGTCAGGCTTCAGGGAATTCACTTCCTGTGTCAGTGAAGTGAACTCTTTATCCAAGGGAACAAAATCATAACTCTTCCCTGTAGGTCTTGCCCCAATGAAGGTCCCTGCCTTTCCACTGCTCTGTCAGCCTCTGCATGTTCGGGGGGAGGGGAGCTGGCCGTAGCAGGAGGAGGAGACTCACTGAATTCTTCAGCAGCCTGCCTCCTCTCTGTCTCCTGGCCCTCCTCCTCTCTTGCCTGTGATTCTGCACTGCTCTCTGCTGCAGCTGCTTCCTGCTCACTAAACCCTGTTGCCTCTTCAGCTTCTGACACCTCCTCCTCCCAGTCTGGTCCCTCTTCTCGCTCTGACCATGCATCGTTGACCCACCACCAGTCCCCTGGCTCTGATCCTTCTTCCCCTGGAGGTTCCCTTGGGGGTTTCCCAGCTGGTGCCTCCCATGCACTCCTCTGCGTCCAACCAGTTCCTCCAGCACCTCGGATTTGGCAGATGGTAGACCAGGATTACCTTTTCAACAAAGGAACCAAAGAGAAAAAAAAGCTCTTGTTCTTGTAGTCGGATAAAGTGCCATACACTAATATGATTGTAAAATCTCTCTTTGCCTTCCCTCTTCAGAAACTTCTACTACATCACGATCCTCCGGGACCCGGTGTCTCGGTACTTGAGCGAATGGAGGCATGTCCAAAGAGGAGCAACCTGGAAAGCATCATTGCATGTCTGTGACGGGAGATCACCAACTTCCGAAGAGCTGCCCAGCTGTTACTCGGGGGATGACTGGTCTGGCTGCTCCTTGCAGGAGTTCATGGACTGCCCGTACAATCTCGCCAACAACCGCCAGGTCCGCATGCTGGCAGACCTCAGCCTGGTGGGATGCTACAATTTGTCTGTCATGCCAGAAGAGCAGCGGAACAAGGTTCTTCTGGACAGTGCCAAGGAGAACCTGAAGCGGATGGCTTTCTTTGGCCTGACGGAGTTTCAGAGGAAGACTCAGTACCTCTTTGAGAAGACATTTAACATGGTCTTCATCTCCCCGTTCACACAGTACAATAGCACACGAGCCTCCAGTGTGGACATTGACGAAGAGACCCAGAAGCACATCGAGGCTCTCAATTTTTTAGACATGGAGCTGTATGAATATGCAAAAGATCTTTTCCTGCAACGTTATCAGTATATGAGGCAGAAGGAGCACCAGGAGGCGAGGCGGAAGCGCCAGGAGCAACGGAAGATCTGGAGAGCTAAGCAGATCCACAGCAAGGAGCAGAGCAGCACAAATGCAACAACTGACTACATCGGGAGTGTGGAGCAGTGGCGATAATAACAGGGGGCGAGGTGTGTTTTTAGGGAGATCCAGATTTGAAAAGCCAGGGCAGGGTTGCAAAATAGAGAGGAAGGATGAAGCAGCCAAGCAAATTTGTGCTCCTTTGAGGGCACAAGGATACAAGGCTTCTGGCTTGTGGCCTTTGCCAATGCTTTGTGCATTAAATGTCGTGCCCAGTGTGGGTTAACCTCACCTCTGTGTGTCTCAGATCTGTCCCTTTCTAAAAACAACAAACCATGCTGGCCTGTTTAAGCAGCAATTTTTTGGAAATGATTGCTTGGGCAAAACCAAACATAAAAACTGATTGACATGGTTAAAGCTGAAAAAGTTGGGGAACTTTTTATTTTATTTTTTTTGAGGTGGGGAAAGTATGCTTTTGATGGGCAGGGCATGAGCTATGGGTTGCCCATCCACCCATTTTGTCTTGCAATGCTGGGGATTCTGTGGCCTTACAGATAGTCAAGACTACAATTCCCAACATCCTTGACCCATTGGGCCGTGAAAGCTGGTGGGAGTTGGAGTGCAAAGAGACATAGAGGGTGGCAGATGTTCCCTGATCTGTAGCCTTCTGGGGAAATATCCAACACTGTTCTTTTCAGGCCAACTCAGCCCCTTATCTCCAGGATGAAAGCTTTTTCAGCTTGGCATTAGCCATCAGAGTGACGGTCTGTTCCGTTTGGTAGCAGAAGTTTTAATAAGGACTGTGGTGGCCATAGTGAGCCCCACTGAATACTGTCGTTTGGGGGCCACATTTCTGCTCCACGTCATAAGATCTCATCATATGAGGTTGGACAGAAGAATATTGAGGTCCTTTCCAACTCTACAGTTCTACGATTCTTTGTTATACAAGGTCTGTGGAGCCTGCCTCCAAAGGTAGTTTGGGATGTTTGGGGCAAATAAAACACCCATTTCCCAGAGTTTGGGAGTTCAAGGCATGATAGTCATGATTGTGCTTTGCTAGGTGGCTTCCACATGGGAAACACACAACCAGAATAAAGCATCCCATTGGAATATCTCTCACCCCCCCCCCGTTATTTTATTTCATGAATGTATTTTCATAGGCCAACTGCTTTTAGCACATACCAAATATGAATTCTGATTAACGGGGTGTCTGAAGAAGAAAATACATTGGCTTTTTAACAAAGAATAGAAGGGTTTTGTCTATAATTATTTATAACTCATTTTTAAAAATCTTCCTACTGCTGTTAATGAATTTTAAGCTTGTTTCATTTCATGTTCAATTGGAGTTGAGAATATTCTCTCAATGATCTGGAGGACATTTAGACTAGCTTAATACAACAACAGAAAAATACTGTTACAGAATTACTTTGTGCAATTGAATTGGAATCCATTTTGAAGATGTTGGGATGGGGAGAGAGGCAACTCTTGTTTTCCTGTCCAGTTTCAACAACTCTCCTTGGATTTGATCATTTTGTATATTGCTGCCCAGAACGTTTTCGATCGAAGCTGTATTTTTTAAAAGGATTTATTAGGGAGGGGATATGGCTGGACTGGTGGTTTGCTTTTGATCCGCTCTTTCTAGTATGATGCAGAATTTGAGCTCTCATTTTTGTAATATTTGTGAGCCCATCAAGGAGTCCTAGGGGGTCTCCCATCCAGACACCTGCTAGACCCAGACCTGCTTAGCTCCAGCCTCGGGTGCCTTCAGACTGTGACTTAGGGCCTCATGGTCCTTCTGAGGCGCATAGAGTTGAGAAAGGGAGAGAGGGCTGAGCCACAGACTTTGAAATAGCCATATTTCTTACATTTGGTGCCAGCTCAATACCAGAATTACTCTTCTGCCGCCACTTGAAATGCTTGCCCTGTTCTAACAAGGGAAAGTCACGTGCAGAAGACAGCCTGAGTATGGATCTTCTTTGCTGATTTGCGAACAAGTGCTTGCAGGTACCTGAAACAGGTAATAAGCATATGAAATTGCCTTATACTGAGTCTGATTATTCGTTCATCTAGCCCAGAGTTTTCTGCTCTGATGGATTGTGGCTCCCCACAGAATCTGGCTGGCCACTATGTCAACAGGATGCTAGACTAAAAGTGTCGTTTGTCTGATCTAGCAGGGCTTTTCTCGTGTTCTGTTGGGGTCTTTCCCAGCCCTACTGCTTGAGATAGGCGGTGGTTTTTAATGGTGATGGAACCTATTGCCTTTCGCTCTTCCTCTGTGTGGAGAAGGGCTGTATCTCAGTGGTGGAGCACATTCTCTACATGCCAAAGACCTTTGAACATACGGAGGTCAAAGGGATTAATCTTTGATGCTGTGAAGAAAACTGCCCTTCATGCCGGAGACTAGGCAGTTTTCGGACATGGTGAGTGACTTGGAGCAAAGGACCTCCATCGTGCCCAAACACCACAGAATAGTCCTGTGAGTTAGTCCTCAGGGCATTAGGTCAGCTAAACCTCCCCTTTTTAAATTACTTTTGAGACTGTGATGAATTACGACTGAAGGGATCTGTGTGCCCCCTGAAACTTTCACAGTGAATGCAAACCGACTGCTATCATAAGAAGAGGCAATTATTAACGATTAACAGAATGGAAACGAAACAAAAAGCATGTTTTAATTGTCTGCAACGAAGAAAGATTATAAATAGATAGGGGTGCTCTGCTTGTTAAGAATTTTGATTTTACATTGTTTTTAACTCTCCATCCCTTTTGAGGAAGTGCTAGCCACAAAAGTGAAACTAAGCTCTCCAACTGTGTGTAAGAATGTACTTACTTAAGGAGACAGACGCAATTTTTTAAGGCAGTCTGTTAAGGTGGAGAGTGAGTTCTTAATTAGACCAATGGCACTCAGTATGGAGAAAATACTGTTGAACACCCCATTGACTGTTGGTATCATGCAGCAATTATTGGATGAGCAATCAAAAGAGCTCAGAACTGAGATAAATAAAATGGTGAATGAAAATGTTTCAGAGAAAGGTCAGATTAAAGGAGACATGGAACTTTTGGGAAATAATACTTAGAAAAATCTGCCAGAACATGAAAGTGGAATGGTGAAGTGGGAAGCAGCAGATGATGAAATGGGCCTTCAAACAGGTGCCTGGAGGAGTGAAACAGTCAAGCAATGGAGTTGTGATTCTGGACGACTGGAATGAAACCATTGGCGGAGAGATTAAGAAACATTCTGAGATGGCACAGATAAGAGTCTACAATTTGAAATGAATTCAAAGGGGGAAACTATCAAGCTTCTGGTGATGCACTTGGAAAAAGAATGGAAGAAGTGGAAATGTTTTACATTAGTAGGATGCCTCGAAATGAAAGAAGTTCTTCTTTTTCTCCTGCTAAACTAGGATGGAAAATTAATGAATTAATGAATATTCATGAAATTAATATTAATGAATATACAAAAGAAATTAATATTAATGAATATACAATAAATAACTATGGATTGATATTTTAGTATACGATCACAACAGAGAGATTCCTTTATGAATAGAGATTAACGATTTATTGTTTTTTAACTGTGGAAGGGTTGCTGGAATTCCTTGGAGATAAATTCATCATACCGGATTGAAGTCTTGATTTTCAATGATGATAACAATGGGAGAGCCCCCTTTAGACTTTGTGTGGAAGGGGAAATGATTGAACTTGAGGTCTGGGGTTGAAGATTGGGAAAACACCATCTAACAGAACAAGGAGCAGCTGGATATTATCATGGAATACAGCTAGATACCATCCTGAACACTCAGAATATTAAACAATATTTATATATATAATTGACAGGCAAAGAATAAGAAGTTTTCTTTATTTCTTTTCTCTCTTTTCATCTTTTTATTATCTTTATCTTCCTCTCTTCTTTTTCTTTTATCTAATTTGTTTTTCTTTATGTTTTGTTCTGTCCTTTGATGTCCTCTACTCTGGGTTAATGAGGGTGATGGCTGACTGGTGGAGGACCTGCGTGAGAGGCAGGGAAGGGAAGATCTCTCAGAGGGAGAAAAGGAAGCTCCCAGGTGAAAGCTAGGAGGGTCTGCCCCCTTTTGTTTGAGCCGAGGGTTAGGAGGATCTACTTTTGTATTCTCCCCCTCCCCTTTCTCTTTTCCTTTCCTTTTTTCTTTCGTCGTTGTTTTTATTTGGATTTGGGTTTTTCCTTTATTGTATTGTAAGATGAAAAGTTTTAATTAAAAATATATATGCAAAAAAGAAATTCCAGGGAAGTTGCTGCCATTCATTGTGGACAATACTGCCCTCTGACTCAGAATAAGGCAACTTTCTATGTGCCACTGAGCTCGCCTGCCTCTTCCGCCCCACTTCCAAATTAGATACTAATGTGTTACAACTAGGTCTGGGATCCCTGAGTTGGAGGATGATCAGGTTTGTTTAACGTGACAAGTCTGCATGTTCCTGCACCTACAAAACTTGGGACCGTTGTCAGATACGCTTCTGCCTACCACTTAAATGTGAAGTTTCTCCTAGTGAGCAATGTTTTCCAAGGGACTATAGATGACTGTAGGTCTCTAAGCCAGCCACCTTTTGCATCTTGTAAGACATTTGCATCTTAAGAGTGGGCCACTGATTGCGTTTAAAAACGGCCACCATAAGTTTCCCAAATGTCTACCAGCACCCAACTAACTCTGGTTGACTGGGGCTGGTGAGAGTTGTCAGCCAAAACCTCTGGACCGCACAAGGTTGGCAAAGGCTGTGCTAGAACTTTAGGGTCGTTAAGAGAATATACAATTTAGTTGCATTTTCTCTGTTGCTGGGAGACCAGCTGGGAGGCAAGGAACTGGACAATTTAACATGCTTGGACAAGGCAAATCTCTATGCAAAAATCTTGTGAATATGATGGTGATAAAAGAACAGGCTCTTCTACTTGATAGTCTAATGAGAACTGATGTTAATTTTGGTCTATGCACTCAGTAGCTGATTTTTCTTTTAATGGCCTGGGTTTACTTAGCTTAACCTTCCATCTGATCTGCAGGGCTGGAGGCACCTGAGGATGATGTTTCCTTACTTCATGCATACTAAATCTTAACTGGGCTCCTTTTGCACTATATGCCATTTATATGTGAGATTAATCAAGTAAGGCTGGGGCCCCAGCCTATACGAGAGGCTTCACCAAAATAGACATTGCAACAACAATGCTACCCATGTCTTCCTGCTTCACAGAGCAGCCCTAACCATGTCTGTTCAGAATTAACTCGCGTTGAGTTTAATGGAGCCCACACCCAGGACGTGGCTGTAGGGTTAAAGCCTACCTTCTCCAAAGTTTATTGCATCAGGCAATCTTTCAGAGGCCTAGTGGGTTTGCTAAACTTCAAAAATTTACAAGTGGGGAGGGAAAAGCCAGCACTGGCAAAATGCAAAGAATGAGTGTTTAAAATGCCAGTCTGGCATTTCCAGTGGAATTCCTTGGTTTTCACAGGGAGGGCAATGCGCTCTTGAAACCAGAGGGGGCTGCCTGTGCTGGGTGTCGGTTTGAAGCACCCTGCCTGATGTAGGAGATGCAACCTCGTTTTTATGCTGTGCTCTGCATGGTTTACAAAATAATAAAATACTAAACCCTTTCCTTTACTTTGTGTATACTGTTTGTTGTATATAAGGGATGTGTGCATATAAGGATTCAATTTTGTCATAACCACGCGGATTCAGTTGCTTTCCACTATAGGCCGCTATCTTGCTGTGTAGTTTTACGATGACAAAAAAGGGGGTTTGGGAAGGAAAGGAGTTCCATTGACTTTGATTGTGTAATTTAACAATAGAGTTGATAAAATAAACATTAATTGCAGTCTTTTGTTGTGGGTTGATTATTGAAACGGCTCCGTCTGGCTCTGGGGTTGTGTTCCAAATCCGCTTTTCTAATCTCATAGCCTTATTTCAAGCAGGTTCATGTTCTTTTCTGTGCTCAAAAGAATCAAAAGGAGTTTTGCTCTGAACTAACAAATGGAAACCCACCAAAGGGGGGGGGGAGAATGATGGCATCCCACACAGGAAACTGCCATATACCAAGTCAGACCATGGCTTAGCTCAGTCCTGTCTAAAGCAGGGTTGTGAATTGTTTGTGACTCTCCAGATGTTGCCAGAGTCCAGATATGGCCTCCACATTGCTCAGAGGACACTGCTTCCCATCTCTGGATGCAAATTTAACACCTTTGCAAGGAGCCCCACCTGGAGACACTGTCCTATTCCACTTTTTGGTGTGCCTCCATCTATAATCCAAAGTCTGGGGAAACTGTATGAGGGCACTCCTGACAAATTCCTGACTTTAGGAAGTGGACCAAGCAAGGGTGGCATTAGAAGGTGGCTCAGCAGCGTGCCATGCTTAATTCCACCACCACCCTTGCTTGCATGGCAGTTTGATACAGTAAACAACAGTGCTAATGAGGTCCCAGCCTCCTGACACCTTAATTTTCTCAGAGGTTAGACATTGCTTGATTGCTTGCTTGTTTACGTAGGCCTCTTCCATACTGCTCCTGAAAATCCACATTTTCCAAATCCATTTTGTGCATTGTAGCCTTCTGTGGTTCCATACCAATGGGGGTTGTTTGCTGTTCTTGCATTCTGTTGTGCAAGGGCCATAGGTTCTGCCTATTTCAGATCCTGAGTCATGTTGCTCTTTGGAGAAAAACAACACCCGTGGACCCTTCCCAAACAGCCCATGAAACCCAATGATCTTTCTATTACTATTTCTGGCAGAAATGAGAACATGTGCACTCTGTTTGTAGGAGACAGACTGAGGATTAAATTTGTAGATTAAGATTTAAACTACCTATCCCTCATGTGTGGGAGAATTACAAAAGAAAACAGGTTGTGAAAACAGCCTTTTTAGAAGAGTAAAACACTTGATGTTTTGTAGCTTACTAAAGCTTAGGAACAAGGTAATTACACCTTTTTATCCCTTTATTTGTAGTCTGCTGACCTCCCCCTCTTCACCCCCATTGAAGAGAATAAACCATGCATTTTTAGTAAGATAAACAAAAAAAGTTTACTTACATTTCAATGCAGACAGCAAATACAATGCAGGTAAAATAACTTCTCAGGAACAAAATGCAAGGGTTGGATTGCAAAATAGGTTTTGTGTGTCTGGAGCCCCTAGACACATATCTGATCAGTTTGGAAGCATAGTGGCGATAGTTTCCTCAGAGGCCGGAGAAAGTATAAAAAAAATTATCTCCTTGTTACAGTATTCCCTCCCAGAGGAGGCAGGGGAAGTAACCATACCGTGGCTCCTATACAATACAATAATTTTAAGAACTCTCTGTGTACTAACCCTGTGCTTGTCTAGCAAAAGAGACATTTGTGATTTGGCTGCAAAGGGACTTCCTCCCAGGTAAATGTGTTCCTCCCTGCCCCTCACCCCCTGCCTTTTGCATGTCAGTGCCCAGTGGAGGGGCATGGGCAGTGGCACAAAGGAGGAGTTAAGAGACAAGAGGAATGGAATAACCAAAAGCACATGATACCGCAAACCCATGTTACATGGCACAGCGACATGTGATGGATTTAGAAAGGCAAGATTTTGCCTTGTCACCGGTCACCTGGACAGTGGAAACATTGTGTGGTTTGTGCTCCAAAAATGCAGGAAGAAACAACCTGCCAAGGCAGCAATTTACAGGTACAAAACCGATGATAAGAAATATATGCACACATACAAATAAGGTACATTTATTATGTACTGAACTGAACAAAAACTAAAACCAACAACCGTACAAATGAAATATCATAACATACAAAATACATTATATAAATAATGTAAAATATGAGGGATATTCAAAACCTGTCTAAAATAACACATGCAATATGATACTTTAAAATGTGGAAGTTAAAAGTGACTTGAGGAAGAGAGTAACATATCCAGATGAAAAATTTAATGCATGAGAAGAGCAGCTTAATGGGGCAGAAGAGAAAAATCTAGCAACAGTCCCTGTTGATAATTTGCTCGAATCTGCCAAAAGGTAGGCCATGTACCATTTGGAAGTCCTACCTTGAAGGTTTGAGGGAATAAGAAGAGTCACCAGTCATCTTTGGTTATCTTTATAGGAATTACAGGCAAGAAACGCACGAGCCAAAAATTTGGTAGCCTCCAACCCCTTCACAAGGACAGAAATGTTCAGTGTTAAAGAGCTACCCTTAAACCAGCTCCTAATACAGCAGAGGGTATGCAGTTCAGCCTAGCTTTAGTGAAATTGAAAAGGCATTTAGGAATAATTAAATTTCCCAAGTATCTAGCATGGCATTATGCAAATATATGCAATGGACCTGTGCCAAAAGTCATTCCAGTACCGAGCTGTACAACTGGGACCAGGTGAGTTTGTTTTTATTTTATTATTTATTATTTATTTTATTATTTCTTTTGGTTCTTTTATTTTATTATTTATTTATTTTATTTATTGCAGGATTCATAGCCAAAAAAGACACTCAAAGCAGCTTTACAAGAATCATTCTTAAGGTGGGTCACACAGCCTACAAAGATATGACAACAGGAAATATGGAATATGGAGGAGGAGGAAAAAAGCGAGCTGCAGCAGAAATCCTAAAACTTACCATTCTGAAAGTTGCTGGTTAAGTTTCTCTTCCTATAATTAATGTTTCACACGGTCTCTTTCCAGGGGTTTGGATGTAAGGCCAGTAGCAGTGACCCTGCCGGCCGCTGCCTTAAACCTTCTTCCCAAAATAAACTATTGTTATACAGTGGTGCCTCGGGTTAAGTACTTAATTCGTTCTGGAGGTCCGTTCTTAACCTGAAACTGTTCTTAACCTGAAGCACCACTTTAGCTAATGAGGCCTCCTGCTGCTGCTGCACCACTGCTGCGCGATTTCTGTTCTCGTCCTGAAGCAAAGTTCTTAACCTGAGGCAATATTTCTGGGTTAGCGGAGTCTCTAACCTGAAGGGTATGTAACCCGAGGTACCACTGTATACCAATCTCTGAGCAGTGAGAGACGCCTGGGGTTCTGGGTTTTGTATCCTTGGAATGAGGTGAAGGTTGTGGTGTCTTTAAGATATATGATTTATTTACATCTATATAAAACCTGAGCCTACGGTGGAGGGACTCACAGCATTAACACCCTAACAGATCTTGGTCGCAGCCTTGGATTCCATCACAAATCAAGCATGTCTCTGGGTCCAGCCAGTGGCGTAGCGTGGGGGGTGCAGGGGGGGCCGGCCGCACCGGGCGCAACATCTGGGGTTAGGGCAAATCCACAGGTTAGGGGGCGCAAATCCACGGGTTAGGGGGCGCAAATTACTTGCCTTGCCCCAGGTGCTGACAACCCACGCTACGCCACTGGGTCCAGCTCCTCAGCCTGCTTTCAGCTTAGCTCTCAGCTGGTGAGGGCAAAAGTCCACCCATTTCCCCCCTTGGCACAGATCAACTTCTTTGACTGTGCTCATTGTGGTGCTTGAGGGACAGGATTGGCACCCTTGCTCCCCTACCTCCAATCCCCACAGATAAAGGACCCCAATAACTGGAAGGGCATTGTGCAGAGCAGTGGTTCCCAATTGGGGTTCATGCAACCCACTCGGGCTTGTAGTACCATTCGCATAACAAAAACTAACATAGAGATAATCAACATTTTCAAATGTAGGGGGTCCATGGCTTGGCTTTTGAAAAACAGGGGGTCCTCAGTTCTTAGCTAATTGAGAACCACTGGTGCAGACTGACCCCCGCCTCCAAAGTCACAACACCATCATTTCATTTCAGTAACGCGTACGCACAGAGTTGCTGCAGTTACATAAAGCTGCCTTCAGGTGGCAGTCATGCCAAGTTAAATGAAAGGAGCGATTTCCTATGTGAGCATTGCAAGATTCTAATCCACTCACCATTGCCTGAAGGTGATTCAAGTGCTTTGCTGCTTCCGTAGCTACAAACCCTGTGGCTCTTGCAAATGCAAGACTTATAAGCAGACACGGAGAGAGACCTGCTTGCATCCAGCCCAGGCCCAAGGACCTCCAGAGGTCACCTTTCAAATGTTCCCATCAGCCTTTTAAATGTGAAATCTGAGAACTGGCAACCCCTCTTAAGTGGAACATGGCTTTGCATGCAAAAGGTGCCGAGTTCAATACCTGGCATCGCCAGTTTTGGAAAAACAAGAAATAGGTAGCAGCAGATGGGAAAGAAGATCTCTCGCCTGAAACCCTGGAGAGTGGCTGCCAGCCAGAGCCAACAACAGTGGGTTGGAAGGGCAAACAAGTTCACCTGGAAGGCCGCTTACTGCTTTGGGTGTGCAGGCACAGGAAGGCCTCTAGTTGGGGGAAGAGATTAGCTGTGAATGAGGTAGAGAGCAGAAGCAGAGAGCCAGCATGTAAATCTTCCTTCATGTATAACAAAAGGAGATTCATGAGGTGCAGACAAACCGCTGCACAATCACTCTGATTAAGAACAGTTTGGGAACAAGGTGGGTATCTGCTCTGGTAGCTGCAGAACCTCTGGCCCTTAGGCCAAATGCCCCCCCCCCCTTGTTTGGTCCCTGGGGCTCTCTGGGAGCTCATGTGCACTGCTGTGCCTGCTTTTGCATCTGCGTCCACCCGCACTGGGATGTGGCCCCTGGGAGCTGGCCCAGGAGGGTATGTGGCTCTCCACTCCTGACCTATGAAATGACATATGCAAAAGGGTATTGCACACCAGACTCTCTCTCTCTCTCTCTCTCAGGGCAGATCCACATTGTACATTTGAAGCACATCCTACACACATTTAAAGCACATGACTTCCACCAAAGAATCCTGGGAACTGTAGTTTAAGGGTGCTGGGAATTGTAGCTCTGTAAGCAGGCTTTGGGTTACTGGAACTTCCTTTTTCTACAAAAACAAAAAACCAATGCTGAAGCGATACACTGCTGCTGTTTGTGAAAGTTCCTTCCAGCCACTATGGCTAACAACTCTCTCTAGACCACTCTTCCTGCAGGGATTTGCCTCCGACCCTTCCCCGCATTTTTCCCTTAAAAAAAAAAGAAAATAAATATGCAGAGTGAGTGACCCCACTTTGCACAGAGCCCCACACATGAACCAGGAACGACCAAGCCTCCTCCCACAACCAGTGGGGCTAGAAGATCGTGGGTGCTGCTGCTGCTGCTTTTTACCCCACTCTGAAGCACCACTAGCTTTCAACTCTCCCAGGTACACCAGCTCAACAGGTGAGATTAGCATCTCTGCCTCACAGCCTGTCTTTTCGGATGTTTCCCCACATCAAGGCAATGCTCTCTGCAGAGCAGGCGCAGCTGGGTCGGAAGCTTCCAGCCAGAGGAGGCAACGCGTCCTCTGGGCATTGCATCACCCACACAAGAAACCTTTGTCTGCTTTCCCCAAGATGCCCTGCTTGCTCTTGGGCACCCTCTACTCCTCGGTCGTCAGTGTGCTTTCTGCCACCATCTGCAGCTTTGAATGCTGCTGATTCAGTCTCAACCAGGCTGACTTCCTGTTGGAAGGGAGTCTGGATGCAGGGACCATGGAACTTGTGGTCCTCGGGATATTGCTGAACTACAACTCCCATCATCCTGGCACTGATGGGAGGGGGAGTCCAGAAACATTCACAGTGCTCTCTGTCTCTGTCTTAATTCTCGCAAATGATGAAGAAACCTGTCAAACTGGGGCTGCATCACTTGACAGCACTGTGGGTATGTTAGGGTTGCCAGGCAAGAGCACTTCAGAACCTGGGACCTCAGGGCAGCCATTTGGGACAGAGGTTGACAGGAAACGGGGAGCAGAGTGTGTGTGCCTGCAGGGAGGGGATGAATCCACATGACTGAAAGATGTGTTTTTAAAAAATACACCCCCAAAACCTGCATACCAAGCAAAAAGGAGTTTTCAACCCCCTTTCCTTCTGAAAAGCTGGGATATATTTTTCAGGGTAGGGAGCCTGCCCCCATTATGTGGCCTTCACTCGCTCCCAGCTGCAATCTGAAGTGATGCCATCAAGACAAAGCTCTGCTACCCACCTGCTGCTTGTGAGTTCATTTGTTACAGGAAGAGGAGAGGATTCCCTGAGCAAATAACCAGACTAAAGCTGCAGCCCGCCATTAATTTTATTGCTGGCAAGTTCAGGTGATTCAGCTGCTGTAAACAGTCTTGAGATGGTGGTGGTTTTGCAAGCTTAGCTTTGCAAGCATTATTCATTGTTGATGTTGGTTGTTATTTCACAAGCTTTGATAGCTCCAGGAAAGTTCAGTGGGTGACTAAGACTAGGAGCATTTTTGCACAGCTTTGGGGGGTTATTGAATGATGGCCCTTCCTGGAGAAAGTGGAGCTTTGCCTCCATTGCACATGATTTGAGCCCCTGCAGTAGAGGCTCTTCCTCTCTATAGCTGGAAGCTGCAAATGGTGACGGATGCACCCGCGAAGAAGTTATTAGGGCACACCACTCTGGCGATATGTGAAATCTCTGAAGTCCAGTACCAAATTTTCAGGAATTGAACTCATTCATTCATTCAATATCAGTATGTTTCTTGTGACCCTTCAATCACATTCCCCAGGATGGCCTGCAAAATGAATAAAACAATTAAAATACAAATACAAAATACAGTGGTGCCTCGCAAGACGAAATTAATTCGTTCCGCAAGTTTTGTCGTCTTGCGATTTTTTTCGTCTTGCGAAGCACGGTGTCGGGAAAGTTTTGGAAAAGCTTCAAAAATCACCAAAGTCTTTAAAAACCTCAAAAAAGGCTACAACACCACGTTCTATGAGTTGCTCCTCGAAGTCAAGTCGCAACTGTATTAACGGTGTTAAGAAAAAGGAAACAAACTTGCAAGACGTTTCCGTCTTGCGAAGCAAGCCCATAGGGAAAATCGTCTTGCGAAGCAGCTCAAAAAACAAAAAACCCTTTCGTCTAGCGAGTTTTTTGTCTTGCGAGGCATTCGTCTTGCGAGGTACCACTGTAACATATATTAAACTGAAAGCCACAAAATCGTAAGAGCAACATAGCGTTGCACGCCACCCTCAGTCTCCAAGGGGTGCAAGATTCCAAGGGTTCCAGGTGCTTACCCAGGGTTTGCTTTCCTTGGAATGAGGCTCAGTGGAGACTGTGGTGTCTTTATGACATATGGCTTATTTGCACATATATGTAACCTGATACTACCATGGAGGGGCTCACAGCATTAACACCCCAGAAGGTCTTGCTTCTCCCCTAGCCACAGCCCTGGATTCAAGAAGAAATCAGGCATGGCTCTACCTCCCAGCTGCCTAGCCTGCAGTGTGCTTACTTCCAGCCTCTAGCTCGCACACACAACTCTCAACTCTGGCTTTTGTCTTTATAACTACCAGCAAGTTGTGCAAGGGCATCCCACCCATATTCTGTCTGTCATGGAGCCACTTCCTTTGTTACCTTAATGGCCCCTACCTAGAGGGCCATTACCTCATCAGGAAACTAGCCTGGTTTTCCAGGAATTGAATCCATGCTGGTTCTAGGAATTAGAAGGGAGCTCAAGCATACAGCCTGCCCAACCCCCTTAACACTAAGAACTGAAATTTTATATTTTGGGGGAAATAGGGAGACACCACTGAGAAGGCCCAGTTCTGGTAACCGCATGCCTCACCTCAGTCAGCAGGTGACACTATTGAAATGTGTGGCTAAGTCAGGCACCCCCCAACCTGCAGCCCTCCAGATGTTTTGGCCTACAACTCCCATGATCCCTAGCTAACAGGACCAGTGGTCAGGGATGATGGGAATTGTAGTCCAAAACATCTGGAGGGCAAAGGTTGGGGATGCCTGGGCTAAGTCCTTCCAATGTAAGGCAGTCCTTCCAATCCCTTGAGCATAAAACTGTGAAGGGCTTTAAAGCTTGAAAGAAACAACACTTTAAAATGGACCCACAAGCTGTCTAGGTGTAGTTGATCCAGGGCAGGTGTATTATGAGCTAAATTTTTATATTTTATAAATTTTTATATTGTCTTATGCAAACCACTATAGGGTTTTTGTTTATGATGATTAAGCAGCACAGTACATAAAATCTAAATAAATAACACTCCATTCCAGTTTGTAAATCTAGGGCTGTGAACCAACCATATATTGAAAGCGCATCCTTTCCCCACTCGCCAAAGAATATTGGAAACTGTAGTTCACTCACAGGGCTACAATTCCCAGCACCCTAAACAAACTACAATTTCAGTGAGGGGAGGGGAGGATGTGCTTTACAAACATCTGATGTGATCAGAACTCACATTAGTTTCAAACCACCTTCAGAGGCTGCCCCATAGGTAGCACTGAGGCTCCTCTGATGCCTTAAACAGCCCCTCATCCCCACCCCTGACACTGCTCCACAATCTTGCTGCAGGAACAGAACAATTTATGCAGACAACCCTGCAAAATGTGCTTGGCTTGCCAATCCTCTTTCCCCCAGTTGTTGTGGAAGTTGTTCTTCTGATGCACAGCACCAGCTGCTCGTGCCCTGAACTGCTCCACAGATTCCGACTCCAGACTGGGCCACAGATAGTCCCTTAACTGAGAGGAACCGCCAGGTCCAAGCACATCCCAACAAAGGCCCAAGTGGCACAGTGTGCTATTGGAAATGAGTGCTTGGCTTCCACAGGGGGTTGGCTCTCTGGCTCTTCTCCCCAGCATCAGGAACACACCAGGACGTCTAGCACATTCTCCGCCACTTGTGGCTCCTACCCAGCCAGCAACACTTGTTGTGTGTGTTGCAGAAAGACCCACACAAAGCCGCTCTTCTTATTTTTAGAGTTGACCTTACATCGGGGTTAGCCATTCATCTGCCTGTGGCCAACAAGGTGTGAACCAGTTCCACAAACCCAGCTGTGCCTGCTTGTCTCCCTGCTGAGAGAAAGAGAGACAGAGAAAGGCAGGTGTAAATTAGTTAAGAGACAAGTGCCTCTTGCAACCACAAAGTGAGGCTTCTCACATTCTTATTCTTGGTTCAGGAATACTGGTGAAGTTTTCATTTGTTTCTGAGCATTAAAACTTCAAGAGAGTAATATATATATATATATATATATATATATATATATATATATATATATATAAAATCATAGAGTTGGAAGAGACCACAAGGGCCATCGAGTCCAACCCCCTGCCAAGCAGGAAACACCATCAGAGCACTCCTGACATATGGTTGTCAAGCCTCTGCTTAAAGACCTCCAAAGAAGGAGACTCCACCACACTCCTTGGCAGCAAATTCCACTGTCGAACAGCTCTTACTGTCAGGAAGTTCTTCCTAATGTTTAGGTGGAATCTTCTTTCTTGAAGTTTGGATCCATTGCTCCGTGTCCGCTTCTCTGGAGCAGCAGAAAACAACCTTTCTCCCTCCTCTATGTGACATCCTTTTATATATTTGAACATGGCTATCATATCACCCCTTAACCTCCTCTTCTCCAGGCTAAACATGCCCAGCTCCCTTAGCCGTTCCTCATAAGGCATCGTTTCCAGGCCTTTGACCATTTTGGTTGCCCTCCTCTGGACACGTTCCAGTTTGTCAGTGTCCTTCTTGAACTTAAATATATATATATATTTAAAGAACAACAAAAAATACCAAAGCAGCCTTCACCCAATGGTCCCCAAGCAGTATATCATCATCACCACCATTGTCGTCATAGATGTTGTTGTTATTATTGTTAAAATGTATATCTTGTCCTTCCTCCCAATGGAGCACAGGGGGCAAACAACAAGCAACGAAGCAATAAAAGCACAATTAAAATATCTTAAAACAATTCCAGTGCCAATGCACTGAGAGAGTTCTCTGCTTAAAGAGCATATTGGAAGGAAGGTTTTTAATGGGGACGACAACAGAGATGGCGGCTGTCTCATAACTGACAGCAGACGTTCCCCGTGGGTGAATGACGCAGCACTAGAGAGGGCCCAGTTCCTGCACAGTGTGGAAAGAACCTCCTGATAAGTGACCATAGCAGCTTGTTTGTTCAGATCGGGATAAATGTGTGAAAGCTGCAAGCAGTTATTTCACCAAGGTCTGTTGTATTCACTATTTCCCCCGTTAACATGGCTGGCCCACCCATGAGGCAAGCTGAGGCAACCGCCTCGGGTGGCAGCATCTGCAGGGATAGCAGATCCAGCCTCCAAAGAATGCATTGCCCACTGCTGCCACCACTGCCATGGTGTCAGTGCTGGTGTGCTCCTTGGAGTCTGGCTTCTGAGGGGGCTGAAGACACGCCTATGCCTGCCTGGGGCTGCCCTCTGGGGTCTCCTGGGCTCTGCACCCACACAGCACGATTGAAAGCAGCCCCCTCCCCACCCCCTGTGACAGCCTTTGATTCCCATTTCAACTGTTAGGTAAGGTTGGTTTGATACTCCCTCTCTGGTTGACTCACCCGTTCTTCCCTAGCCAGAGGGGCCACAATTTTGTGGTTCGCCTCAGGTGCCAAAATGTCTTGGGCCAGACCTGTCCATTAAGAATGGTGTTTCACTTCCTTCCTTGATAGGCAGAGCTTTAAGGACATAAGGACATCAGAAGAGCCTGCTGATCAGGCCAAGGGCCCATCGATCCAACATCCTGCTCTCACAGTTGCCAACCAGATGCTCCAATAGGAAACCCACAAATATGACCCAAGCACAAGAGCAGCCCTTTCCCCTCCTGTGGTTTCCAGCAACTGGTGTTCAGAAGCATCACTGCCTCTGACCATGGAGACAGAGCATGTCATTGTGGTCAGTGAATCTGTCTAATCCTCTTTCAAAGCCATCCCTGCCTCCTGTGGGAAGGAGTTTCACAGTTTAACTCTGTGCTGCATGAAGAAGTCCTTTCTTTTATCTGCCCCAAATCTTTCTTTCTAGCGGTAAGAGAGAGAATGGAAACTCTTTTCTCTATCCAGCTTTCTACAGAATTAAGGGGTGCCTTGTTTTCTGCACATGTAGGCAAATGTAGAGGCACTCTAGACAGTTAGGCAAAGTTGTTTAGTGGGTGCTGTGCCCTTGAGTCCTTTTAGATAAATTGCAGCACTGCTGCCACACAATTGACATGCATTGTTCTCTTTTGTGGTTGCTAACAATAACTCTCATAAATATTAGATTGATAAATAGAATGTTAGAGAAAATGGGTTTGTTTGGCACATCAACACAGCCAAAGCATAACCCTTTACCTAGGGTTGTAATTTAAGGAAGCAATTTCCTCTGTTGCAAGCCATTCAAATGAATTTGAATCCATACCTACTAGGCAGATTTCCTACAAAAATCCATTGCTCTGAGCTGGGGCAATGGCATTCAGATCCACCTTGTTCACCTCCCTGATGTAACTAGAATCCAAAGCCCTCTGGAAAAAGTCTCCCTGGGGGTCCATCCTTAGAACAACTACCCCCAACTGCATGCCATCCAGATATTATCCCTGGTCATTGGCTGGCTGGGGCAGATGGGAGCTGGAGTCCAAAGCAGGGGTTGGCAAGGTTTACCTTGTCTGGGCTGGTTCACTCCAGCAGAGATCCCTCTGTGGGCCGGATTGCGCGTGCGCAGGCCCATGATTTGCGGTGTCTGCCTCTGTGCAGACATGATTTCCAGCACCTGCACAGATGCAATTTCCGGCACCGCGGAAGCGAGTCTCCACGCTGTGCTGGTTTAGCGCAGTGCGCGGGGACTCACCAATCGGGCAGCTCGGTTTGGGGGCAGCTCATGGGCCAGTTAAACGGCCCCCGTGGGCCATTTGTGGCCCATGGACCTTAGGTTGCCAACCCCTGATCCAAACCATCTGTATACTGCCAGTTTGGCAGAGGCTGCCCTCCAGTAGCTAAGCCTTCTTCTATCACAAGTATTTTCCTATTCAAACATTAGAGATACTAATGCTGATCTGTGGAGGATTTGTTTTTTGTTCTCTGTCTGGGTTTTCCCAAGTGACAGGCACCTTGGCAAAGAGGGCTCTATTCTCTTGCAACTGAGGCATCCCAAATGTGTAAATAACCAGGCATTCAAAATAAGAATAGTTTACCTGTATTGATCCATCATACATGTAAATGAATTGGGTATGATAGCTGTGGAAGCTGCTCTTCATCAGAACCACCACGGACCTGGCATTTATTGTCATTCTATTGCTGGAACCCAGGGAGGCTGCAGCATTCATGAAGCAATGCAGGGGTACAAGCAGCTCCTTGGATGGGAACCTTTTCTATGTAGCTCACAGTAAAACTAGACAGTCACCAACTAATATGACTCTAAAAGAGTTAGACATAGGACTTATCCACACCTCTGTTCCCTAGGTAAACCTGCTCTTTAGCACTGAATCAGAATAAACAGCAAGTGGGTTTTTTGTGAATTGCTGTTTGTTCCAATTTAGCACTAAAGAGCAGGTTTTCCAGGCAAAGTGATGGGGCAGAGGCAAAACCATTCAGATCTGTGCCTAGAAAAGTCAAACAGAAAATTGCTCAGATTTGTGCTTTTTACGCATAGGACAAGCAGCAGTGTGCACACATTTCTCAAACACATTTCTGGTGGATTTCTCTAGCAATGGCTACTAGCCAAGATGACTCTATTTTATCTCCACAGTTGGAGGCAGGATGCCTCTGAATACCCATTGCTGGGAATTGCAGGTGGGAAGAATATTGTTTTCAGATCCTGCTTTCAGGCTTTCCAGGAGAGGATTGGACCCTGTGAGAACAGGATGCTGGACTAAATGGGAGCCCTCTGGCCTCATCCTGCAGCCAGGCTCTTCTTAATGTTCTTAGGAAACCAATGGGGACCACATGCAAGGGTAAATAAATGAATAAAATTGGTAAACTAATATCTTATTATTACTGGTGTTCAGAGACAATGGGATGGCACACGGAGGCCTCCTCCATTTGATGTAAATCAAGGCACTGCAAATTTAAATTGCTCTGCTTTATTAAAGAAGTGATTCACTGGAGGCACACTCCATTGTATCTCAGGACAGATGGATGTCAACAACAACAAGAGAGGCATGGGGCCTCTGATCCTGAAGGAAGCATATAGCCATGAGGACTAATAACCTATTTTCCTTTTAAAATCATATATGCCAGCAACCATCACCATTTCTTGTGGTGGCAGATAGGTCTACTCATAAGGCCAAGGAGTCAGTTCGTGGCTTAAATGAGATTTGTGCTAGGATCCAACTGACCACAACCTTCCCCAAGACCTCCAGATGTTTGCAGAATACAAATCCCATCAATCATCCCTGACCACTGGCCATGCTCGGTGGGGCTGACTGGAGCTCTAGCCCTTGCCACCCAGAGGGGCACCGTATCAACTACAAGTAACTTGTTGTATGTGCATGTTTGCTTTTTAAAGTGTGCATCAGTGTTAACTTGCAAGTTGCCTTGGGACAATTTATATGCTAAAATGCAAGGCAGAAATAAATGTGTGTTTTTCTTCTGGACACCCACCAGATTTCTCAATATAATCCAGTGGGACTGGATTATTTCCAGACAGAGCTGTTCCTGTCAGCTGAAGCCTCATGCAGCAATGTGGGTCAATGGTGCCTCTCTAGTACAAAGTCTGTGCCGCTGTATTTTGCTGTTGCGGTTTGCTGCCAGCCAATATTATAAGTACAATATTGATAAATATAATGGTAGGACAGAGGGGACCTTGAGGAAAAATATAGGAGTGCATTCATGCAGCTCAGTGAGACAGAATCACAAAAGAAACTGCCGGCGTATTGGAAAGAAAGAAGAGGGGTTACTTCAAGGTGACTGGGTTTTAAAAGGTGGCAAGGGTGTGTTTAAACGTCAAAAGAGCAAATGCGTTTTCCCATCACAAGTGTCTATTACTGCTCTTCCCTGGGGAGGCCCCTTCTCCCAAGCCCCTCCCCGTGTTCAAAAGGCAGGTAATTAATAAATGCCTCTTAGCTGGGCCAGGACTGTGTCCTGCCT